CTTCATCTAAAAAAAAAAGCGACATTAATTTTTTGACGATCTAATATTATGGACCTGTAGAATTTGATATAAAGTTAATTTTAATATTCCAATTATTTTGCATTTTTTCTACCTTGGAAAGTGGCATAAAAATCATCTTTAAATCTTGGTAAACAAATGCAATGTTTTGCATTGTTGTCTAATGTTATTTCTTCAACTAAAACTTACTCAAAGGGAAATCCACTATCATCTTTGATGGCGAGTTTTTATCTGGGATACTAATCTTTCCTTTACTTGTAGATCCTCGGTTAATCCTATAAACCAGAGTACAAAATACAACTGTCAAACTGCCATACAACATTTTGATAGTTTAGATAATCTGAAGGAAGGAGTATCAATAAAGCAGCATACACAAAGTAAAAACAGACACATGACTAACTTTTTTGTGCTCATAAAATATAATGTTAACCTGTTAGTTTCAATAATGATATAGTAACACCCTGTACAGAAAAATTTGAAGTAGCTGTTTCATCCTTCCATAAATGAAATATCTCAAACTTTGCTTGAAAATTGAGAGACTACAAGAGTTAAGTGATAAAAAATAATTCCCTGATACTTTGACCGAAGAAAGTACAAGAAAATTTCCTGATACGGTTAATTTATTCTGACTTCTGCTTTTAATTTGTTTATTTATGAAAAAAGGTATATATATATACATTAAATACAGGTACATTAATATACCTAATTATATTGAATAATCATTGTATATAATTATTTTGCTATATCCGATATTATTTCTATTTTGACATAATGGTACTTTGATATAACTATTTTTGATAATTGTCGAGAAGTTACTTTTTCAATCTATGGTTTACCTAACCTACTGGTTTCACTCCGTCTTTATGTAACCATAGTTATTTGTAACAAAATAGAATATATCCTTTATTTGTAGCCTTTTTCAGTTAAAAAGATTTATAAAGGTTTTCAATAAAATAACTTATTAATCCTATATTTACGATGGGATTCATGGACCATATCGGATTTTTCAGCATATTTGTATAGTAAATATATATTTATATTGTAGTTGATTTAAGTTATGCCATAGCTTTACTAGCTAACCAAGTGTCAATGTAACCACGAATGAGTATCGACTAGTATATAGGTGTAAGATACAATGGGAGATAAGTTATACAACTGTATATTATCAGTACAATTATGAGGGTATTTTTTTTAATTTCCAAAGTCTATTGGCATTGTTTGGTGAAAGACCTATGGTTGAAATCTTGCCAATGTGACCCTTATTTTTATTTTTTCAATAAAAGACCCTACCTACGGAAAAACAGATATGTTTGGCAAGTTGTATAGTATCAGTACAATTATGAGGGTATTTTTTTTTATTTCCAAAGTCTATTGGCATTGTTTGGTGAAAGCCCTATGGTTGAAATCTTGCCAATGTGACCCTTATTTTTATTTTTTCAATAAAAGACCCTAGCTACGAAAAACCAATTTGTTTGGCTTGTGTTGTTATCGATATGATGAAATATAAGTTAAGAAAACATTTAAAGAAGAGTTTGAAAAGTTGGCATTTGACTAACGATTTTCAACATAACGCTTTTACCACCTTACTAAGTTGTTGGGGTTTTCATAAAGCATTCACCTTTTTTTCTTTTTTGAGGGGTTAGAACATCATAACTATATTTTCAAAAGGTAATTAAGTGCTAAGAAGCAGGGTTTTGTGTAATTTCAATGCATATGGAATTGATAGAAGAGGTAACAGGTTGCAAGAAAAATTGGCTCAGTGGCAGAGAGCAAAGCTTTGTCGTGAATGGTAATATTTTTTTAGATTTAGAAATGTATCTGCTTGGTTTTTATTTGGACCTTTGTTATTCATTATTAATGCAAACAATTTGAACAACTTTTTACTCAGTAATAATTATCAAGGTCGGTGATGATACTAAGATACTGCAAAGAGTCGATTGTATGTAAAGTTAATGACTGGGCCAGAACATGGAAAACGAGTTTTAATGGTGAGAAGTGTAAAATAAAGCATATGAAATGTGGTGATATGGAAAGGACTAGCTTCCTGTGTAAGAGAAGCATTAAAAATAAAATTGAAACAATACAGAAGTAAAAAAAAAAACAAGACGGATTTCAGTGTGATTTTGTAATAAAACTCTGTAGTGTGTTTAGCTGTCATGAAAACAACAGATGTAGACCTGGATTGAAATTAGAGAAGTTTGAATTCAATAGGAAGAAAGTTATTGCAACTTAGTGTACAAATCTGGTAAAGCCTCATTTGGAGTTTTGTGTGTGGCTTTCGTTAACTTATACTATATAAAAGTATAAGCATGTTAAACTTTAGAGACGTGCCTGTTCAAAAAACTAATTAGAGAATTAAAATATTAAGAAATAAGTTTTACTTAGCTTCTTTCTAACCATGATCCGTTTTAATAACCTGTTTTTATTTTCTGCTTTCGTCTCATTAAGGGGAACTAAGTTTTTTCACTATGGCTGTGTAAATAACGATTTTATAGTTAATTAAAAATTTATCTTAAGTTTTACGAAACTACTATATTTCTTGTTTTCACGTTTATATATATATACCTTTTATGTCTGTTTTTCTTTAAACAAAGTACAGAATGAGCTAGCTACAATGTGCCAAACACAGAAGTCGAATTCAAATTTTAACATTTCAAGCCCTCAGATTTACTGCTAAGCCATCAGGTGGACTGTTGCCTTTTTGTTTGTTTGTCCGTTCCGGATGTTCGTGCAAAGCTACACAGGAGTTATCTGCGCTAGCCGTTCTTAACTTGGAATGGTTAGATTGCAAAGAAGAGAACTTGTCAACATCTCCCACTGCCAACTGTTGGACTACTCTAATTGAATTGTGAGCTTTGACCATCACTCTTATAACGCACCCACGGCCTCAAAATACGGAGCAAAAGTTTGTGGAAACAGGATGCAACCTACGACCTTATTCTTCAAAGTCCGGCACGTTAACCACTAACCAAACTTAGCCTCTGGCCCTTCTACCTTTGTACTATTTAGAGAAGTTCCCAAAGAATTATATCACTGGGTTAAATGTTAATAGAAGAATAATTAACAAAACTATGATGATCTTTTGCATGTTAATTAAAATCAGTGTTTGTCCATAAATTGTATAAGAATATAGTTAACTGAATTTGAATTAATGTTGAGTCAATATAAAAGCTGATCGTCGTATTTCTCCGTTGAAGGATACAAGAGAGATAAGTAGAAGTGTAACTGTATAGTTTAAAATGCGTTACCTGATGAAGTCAGTATCAAAAAACTGCCTATTTTGAGACAAGTAGTAGACTCCATTTTCTTCGGTCACGTTCTGCTTCAGGCATTGACTGTTTGTTTGAAATCTTTGAATGACATACCACTGCCCTAGAAACTAGCGACAATCACAAGTGTCAGTAAAAATTAAACATTTTCATAACAGTGACTTAAGATAAAATCTTAATTTATAAACAACCGTATAAAAAATACTTAAGTAATTCTTAACAGATAAAAACTGAACACTTTTGATAAAAACAATTTACAAGTTTACAAACTGTATTACAACCACATATATATATGTACATAAACTGCTGCAGAAATAAGTATCGTACGAAAATAATTGGCTGCTAAAAATGCTGGAATACAATCGAGCCATACAAACTTTAGTTGTAAATTGTAATTCTGTTGCCCAATAATCGTCTGATTTTGGTAGAGTTTCATAACTATATACCAACGTAAATAAGTAATGTTTTCTAATAAAAAACTATCATTATAAATCTAGAAGATACGTAGGTCTTGAAAACAGTAAACACTACAGCACCGACCTTTTAGCCACATTTTGCATAAGAAATAAGCTATTGTACTGTGACATTTAGTCTTAGTAGACGTGGTTAGAGTAAAGACCTACTACTAGTACCAGTAGTAATAGTCGACATCTGGAAATATCGCTAAACTATATTACCTTGTCAAGGTTGAAATCTTCCTGCACTTCCACGTTAGGGCAGGATCCTAGTTTGAACACATGTCCATTTACTAACTTACTAACGGTAGTAGTGTAAACAAGAACTAAAGCTATTCCTATCCAGTTCATTTTAAAATAGGCCAAGGGCAATGAACTAGCGCTGTTTTGGTTCAACCACTGTCTTCAACCTGGCGAGTAATGTGTGAGTGACTCAGATTTTTCCTTATTTTATATTATGCCTCTGCTTTTAAAGACTGCTGATTGGTTGTTGATAATCCAATTGGCATATAGACACACAAAGATACCACCCAAAATCTGGGGCAAAAACAACGAAAGCAAGATGATATACGTTCTCGAATTCCTCTTAGGCAAATAAAACTTATTTTTTGTCTAATGATGTTGAAATGGTAAATTTTCTTTATTTTGTAAAGTCTGTAAAGTCTCTGCAAAATAATTTTAAAACAAGCTTAACGAATCCATTTTCAAATTTATTAAAGTATTTCAAATTTTATAATACATTTGACAGATTTTATTTAATTTAGTATCCTTAAAATCACAAAAGGATCATTCAAACTCTTAAAAAATCATATGACTTTTAATGTATTTATTTGTACATCGAAAACGTCAGAAAATAAAAACGAGTAAATTTGAAATAAACTGGTTCCAAGTTTCAGTGAAAAAGGTTAATACCATTATAGTTTTTTTTCTTTCTCTCTTGGAAAGTACAAATATTTCTTTTCAAAATCGTTTGAGTTCAAAGAAATCCATATTTACAAGTGAGAATATTTCAACAGAACGAAAAATGCTGAGTGGTTGAACTGGCTTTTTGAATATATTAATTTTACCAAAGTTTGGAAAATCTAGAGAAAAGTTGAAATAATCTATATTCACTGTGGCCTGGAGAGTAAGGAACTTACTATATTCTTTCAATATCGTCTTATAACTCTGAACAATATGGAGTACCTTGTATACAGTACTCGCGAACAGCGTCAGCAGAGTATGACCATGCTGGGTAATTCCTTGCTATTTTAGTGTTCGCACGTTTCTAAAGCTTGGAAGGTAACTCCCCCCACTCCCCCACACACGCACTAAAGAAGGAGGGAGTACCTATATGGTTTGACCACTTTTTTTAGCTTAAACCTATCTGAGTATAACATTATGGAAATTGAAACAAATGAAATGGAGAACTGATATTATTTGTTTTGTTTTAAGCACAAAACCCACCGTAGAGATTCAACCCCGTGTCTCAATGTTATGCCTCCAACTAAGCACTAAACTACCGAGCAAACAACATTAAGTAATGTTAAGAAATGCTTTAAAAAATTGTGTGTTAAGTCTAGCGGAGGTCGAAGTAAGAAGAAAGGATTGTTTAAATGGATCAGCTGTTTGAATTTAGTTTAGGTACTTCCTAAATTTTCTCAGCAAAAATATTTTTAAACGTTTTTAGAGAATTCTTATTACAAATAGATATTATTTATAGATATCTCTAGAAGTTAACCCTAAATAATTTAGAATATTTTTATTATTTTGTTTTCCTAATAATAAAAGACATTTAATTTGGCTCCATTATTGTTTACAGTACATGACTGTTTTGTATTGTCTAAAGTTGAGCAATTGTTTAATTAGTTCATCAAAGCTATGGTACTATGAAACAAACAAATACAACAACAGCGTGATAAAATAAACAAATACAGCTGAAGTTAATAAGTAAATTTTAATAGCTCGAGATTTGAAAATGGATCATGACTGGATGAATAAATCTTTGAAGTGTTCTATAACACATGATGATTTCTTGAAACTGTATAAATAATAAATATTTTTACTTTACTCTATGGCATGCAGAATTAATACACTTACGATCGTGTATCACGATAAAATATCATAAAAAGAAATTCCATACGAAACTTAGCAATTGTTAAAATATTATCTACCGCATAATAAAAAAAACATTACCCAGTACATTTTGCGTACTGTCTACTATTAGCTATTGACGCTGAAAAGAGGTTAAAATATGGGATATCATGAGGTCTAAGTACCTTAGCCTAGCTCTCTTCATTTAGTTCTTTACTTGAACTAATTTGCTTAGGATTGTCAAACTAGACCTTTAATAAATCACGCGTCACCCTTCGTGACTTTGTACACATTTGTACTTTCTGGGTAAAGATTAAAGATGGGATCCTATGTATTTCGTGTTTCTGTTTGGGGCTGCAGCGAACAAGAGCAGCGTGTTATAAAAGCTATATTATTGTTGATATTATTGGTACTTCACTTATATTTCGGATGATATAGTACTGTTATCTCCTACCTGGAACTGCCAACTCTAAGTTTTGTATCTTGTATTTTGGTTTTTATCTATGCTAAGCGATTTAAAGTTATGTCTTGGTATTTTTACACTTACAACAGAACTAAAATGGAATTTACAGCATTTTAGAAAAAACAGATAATTTTGAACAGTAATACATTGTATTGGGCGTTTTAGCGAACTTCGCTTCAAATCAAATGATCATAAAATTAATTATTTCAATGAAATTCTAATCTGATTGCCCCATTAGTGCAACAGTCACTGATCACTTTCAAGTTCCCAATTTACGTTTCTTCAGAGTGACCTTTACTAAGTCTGGTTTACTTTTGCTACTGTGTCACTGACCCAAATTTGTCCCACTTCCACAAACACAATACTTATATTCCTTTCGTGAACACCTTGTGAAAAGTAATGTTTTAAAAGCCAAGAAAAACATTTTCGTTCCTTAATTAACAGTGTTTACAGATATCTATTGTTATAATCAAAACTGAAATTTAAAAGGCAAATAATATACTGAAAATATAACTTACTGGTAGATTATCTTAGAATAAAATATTACAATGTTAATACGCGGACCTCTTTGTACTATCTCAAACCATAATTGATTTCATAGTAGGCTTCTTTTGGACTCTCAATACTATCATCGATTTCAACGACGATTTCATGACGGACTTCTTTTAGACTATTTCAAACTGTCAACGCTTTCATGACGGACGTCTTTTGGACTCTCAATACTATCATCGATTTCAACGACGATTTCATGACGGACTTCTTTTAGACTATTTCAAACTGTCAACGCTTTCATGACGAACGTCTTTTGGACTCTCAATACTATTATCGATTTAATAATGAACTTCTTTTGAACTATCTCGGATTGTCATCGCTTTCATAATGCACACTCATTGGAACAAAATAAGTTGACATTTCACTAATTTTTCTCTTTATTTTCGGTTTCTATATTACATAGTAAGGTTAGGATAACTAGCTGAGAATACCCGTTAAGAAAGCAAATATTGTATAAAGGACAATGTCAGATAATCTTCTCCTTCCTTTTTCTTTTGTTATTAAATCTCTAATGATCTCATTAGATGCTAATTTCATACCCTATTTTGTGGAAGATAATAATTGACTCACATAACTGATTAAGTACTTGTGTCTCTAAAGTTGAAGCCAAAAGTATATAAAAAAGTGAAAATATTCCCTGTTAAAGGTTCTTTTATCCTTCGTCTTGGGCAAATATTGTAAACAGAAATATCCTATGTACACAGTTGGACACTTTCCAGTTACCATACAAATAATTACGGTAATCAAGGCAGCCAACTCTGGGTGGTAGATGCTAATACATATACACAATGGATCATCCTTTTTGTAAAATGTATATTCTAATTTCCAACTACCGAAAACTTCATTTATAAGCACAAGGATACAGCTACTCAATGAGTGTTGGTTATAAAGATGACAAAGAACCATTGATAAAAGCATTGACCAAGTTTAAGCTTTACTTCTAAGTGTTCAATGTCATTCATAAACAGGCATAATTAGTCTATAACAGAATATAAACCAGAGGTGTATAAAAATATCATTTCACATCACTGTTTTGTTGTTGTTGTTTTCTATTAAAGACCTTCCCTTCAATACCTGGACTCATAAACTGGGATGGACATGATGGTCGCCGGTAAACTTCTCTAAAATCCTATTTTGATATGAAATATGAAAATTTGAACGTTACAGTGCTGTAACCGAAAGCTGGCGAAGCAATAGAACAAACAGGTGTACTGTTCGTTATAACAATTACTCTAGACTGCAAATTTGCTATCCACATTATTCTTAATTAGTCGACGTTTAACACACGTTTAAGTTTTTGTGAATAGGTTCTGAATTTTTGTGTCATACTGAGATCTGTATATTAGTTCTACAAATTTTGAACTAAAGTGTGCATACATTTTAATTTAACACTTTATATAGATTTGTTGTTAAACACAAAGCTACACAACGGGTTATCTGTACTCTGTCCGCTATATTTTAGCTTTATAAGCCCTCACACTTACCACTGAACCAGCGGGGGATACATATATATAGAAAACAAATGTATTACTACTTATAATTATAGTTATTACCCCTTTGTGGCCGTTTCAAATATTTCTATCTTCGTTAACAGTTGATCTAAATATTTTCGACAAATTATTAATAACAGTTATTTTCTTATTTTAAATGGGAACACACACAGTGATTATATTTCAAAATATAATACTTTGTAGTAAAAATTTTAAAAATGAAAAATTATGTGAATTATTCTCACAATAAACTTTCTTCACTTTGAGGTACACGAGTATATCATGCGTTTTATACATTCTATAGTAATATATAAATTTCTTAAATTACTTGTTATATATCTTATGCACTTTCATGGCAATAACACATAATCTAGAGTGTTGCTAACATTCTTTCGCTTTAATTGCTTCTCCTTTTGTGTTTTCTAGTAGGTGACGTCTCCTCTACTGACAGTGATGTTTTAATATTGTATCTAGAAACCCGATTGAACGATTAGCACTGAAATATCCTTCGCTGATCAGTTATAACGTTGAATGAAGATGACAGCCGACCAATGCCTTCAGAGAACATAGGTCATGAGGGAACGCCGACCACTGGACAAAGAAATCGAGTTAATATTCTAGATCCGAGCGTGCTATCTTGGTTCAACTTACTAGGTGAGCGATATGAAAATATGCTATTTTATGGAAGACATGCGTGTTTAGTGTTGAGGTGTTCGACCTCGAAAGAAAGAAAACTACAATATTAAACATTAACTAAGGGGATGAAGGGCTGT